AGATTCTTAGTTCCATTACCTATAGAAGTATGCTTGTGTTTTCTGGCCCTAATAGTAACGATGGAGTCTGTCTTTTAGACTTCAAAGAATGCTCCCATTTGATCCTAACAGAAATACTATGAGATAGTTAAAGTAGATGTCTTTTTCTTGATTTTTTTTTGGAAGGAGAAAAATTGATCAAATATATACAGTTATTGAATAACCAACTGTATTAGTCCATTTTCATGCTGCTGGTAAAGACATACCCAAGACTGGGCAATTTACAAAAAGAAAGAGGTTTATTGGACTTACAGTTTCACATGGCTAGGCACAGGCAAACCATATCACCAACTGAAACTAGAAATCACATCATCTGATATTTATCTAGGGATTTTAATTGTACAATAAATTGACTACAGTTATATTTACCTAATTACCAGAATTATGAGGATTACAAAGTGGATATTTTAATCCTTTTAAAATGAAGATAGAGATAATTTCTTTGCATTAAATTATAAATTCATGATCAATAATGTTGTGAACCCTTTGATCAAAGTGATTGATCAAAGTGATTATGCAGGATTACTTTTTAAAGTAATACTTAGAAAAATTTAGCTTGTTAGTTCCAGCTTAATAGAAAGTGAAGTCCATGCTGCTTATTGGTGAACATGTGGCTATATGTCTTTGAATATGTTTCTTAATATTGGCCATTAACTATTAAATTGACTTCTCAAAATGTTAAAATGGACAAAGTCCCTTTTCTTCTTATAATTAGCTTTCTACTCCTGCTTTTGATTGTTATTCTCCAAGATGACTGAGTTAATTATACAAATATGGTGAGCACAAAACATATTACTTCAAAGGGATATCTCCTTAAAGAACATGCAAATTACTCTCCAGTTTTGAATAAATTCGAATATTGACATTAATCTCCTTAGAATCCCAGTGCTTTAACTTGCAGAGCATTGCTGAATTTAATACTACTTATAAAACTTATTATTTTGACCATTTTGAAATATGTTTTTCATGTATTAAAAAATTAGAGATCAAATGACAGGATTATTCTTATTATCCAGATTTGTATGATGTGTTATAAGCTGTGCATTATTTTATTCAGTATTCATGACCTTTTAAATAGATGTTAATAGTGTTTTCATTATGAAGATTCCATAGCTAGTAAAGTGATAGGAACTGGAACTCATAATTTCTGACTACAAACCCTATTGTCTGTCTACTATATTACTGCTATTTAGTTAACAAAAGAAGGTTTATTTAGAATTAATTTACATTTTCTTAGGAAATCTTCCTATGTTTTCTTTTGGTTATTTAAAGTTTATAATTATTCCATAAATATTTTTCTGGAAATAGAATTTAGAACTTAAATGTTTTCATTGAATATTTTCATTGGCAAATCTTGCCTTAGTACTTGTACAGTAAAAGGCTCATGTTGAATCACATTACATGTGTAGCTAAATAGATTTTATTATTTTAATGTAGGTTTGAAAACCATTTATCGAACATTTTTTTTTTCTTTTGAGACAGAGTCTTGTTCTGTCACCCAGGCTGGAGTGCAGTGGCACGATCTTAGCTCACTGCAACCTCCGCCTCTCAGGTTCAAGCGATTCTCCTGCCTCAGTCTACTGAGTAGCTAGGATTACAGTCGCCTGCCACCATGCCCAGCTAATTTTTGTATTTTTAGTGGAGATGGGGTTTCACCATGTTGGCCAGGCTGGTTTCAAACTCCTGTCCTCAAGTGATCCACCCACCTTAGCATCCCAAAGTACTGAGATTACCAGCTTGAGCCACCACGCCCAGTCACAAAATATTTTTATATGTTGACCCAGTACATATACATGTACAGATAAATCTGTATATTTATCTGCCAAAAATGAAAAATGCCTATAGTCATGGATATATTATTTGTAATATGGAAATACTGGAAATTATCTAGATATCCTCCAAAAGAATTACCTGTATTTTGTACACTATTTGATGAAATTTGATGCAGCCATCCAAAGTGATCACTCTGGAAATTATTTAGCAAAATGAGAAAATGCTTATGCTGCATCGTTGAGCATAAAAGGTCACCAAATAATAGCTATACTATACAGTTTTTTAAAATGTGTGTATACATACAGAAGACTGGATGAGAAGAGAAAAATGAGCCACAATGTTGTTAGAATTTTCAGATTTAATTTTACATTCTGTGTTTCAAATTTTCTATGATAAATGTCATAATTTCTTATCCTGTTTTTAATTATGAGATTAAATTTGTTGAATTTATATAATTTGTCAATTATAATTTGCTAATGTAGTAGTATGTCTAAGACATTTATTTTGGGGATCAGCATAAAGTGTCCTTGAGTTTATCAGAGAAACCAGATCAAACCCATACTGAGCAACCAAGGGATAGATCCCATTTCATTGATGATGTCTATTAGGAAAAATGTGTTTTAGAAGCTTTGGGAAGTTCTTGTTCCCGTAGTTACCCCACTATTCATATGCACATCTAATGGTTGGTAAATTTCCAGTCCCTCTGGCGTGTACCTCTCACCAGTACAAGTTTTCACAAGAGATTTTCTCTTCTTTATTTTTTCAAAGGCAAGAATAATGTGAGAGTAGCTATTACAGTATGTTTCTTTTGTCCCATTTCTTACATCAGGAAAAACCATAAGCTGCAAAAAAATAAAAATATGAAAGAGTCAAACATGCATATTATGCAAAAGCAGTTGACTAAGTTTTTTTAACCTCAAAAAAGGTTGGTTTTATGACACATTCTGAGCTAATTCTTAGTTATTAACTCTGCTTAAATATTTGTAGAATTCTTTCTAAATGTCTCACAGGAGAGTAAAGAATGTGAGATTATAATAAACCAATCCTTAACCTGTAGAACCCCACCCCCTGCACACACATGCAAATATATACACACAGAACCTAAATAACTTCAGGTCTTCTTTATTGTTAATGTGGGAAAGAATAAACTACATAGGAAAAATAGAGTGTTGATTCCCTGCTGCCAGTTCATTTTGAGCATATTCAAGAAAGCAGGAATTACTGAGGAGCAAACAGCAGCTGAGAGAGATCACTTATAGACCTTCTGCGAGTTTCCTGTTTGGTGATGCCTGCATTGACATAGATTTGCTTAAACAGAAAAGTAGCCCTTTTGTTTATGCAGTAGTGTATATTTAGCATACACACACACACATATAAAACTTTTTATCATTATTTAAGGATAAAACTTTTTATCATTATTTAAGGTAGGCACTATACTCTTCCTGAGTGTAGTGATGAGCCTCACATACAGTAAATTTTGATTAGGTACTGGGTACTGTTTTAGCAAGCTCCATAGCTGATGCTAATGTTCAGCCAGAGAGGAGGATAATTATTCTGGGTAACAGCTTGATCATTTTTGCTTTCTAAGTTATAAATCTTGGTAATAAATTTTTTGGTGTGTTCAATAAGATAAATACACTAAAAAAAAAACCCCAGAATCTTGAATAACTTTTAAAGTCGTTTTTGTGTTCTTTATAACTCTTGAGTGTGGTGATGAATGACACTGGCTCATTGTATGTATTTGGAACACAAAACTTTAGCTAGCTTGAGGTTTCCAAGTAGTGCAAGATATCATTTATAATGCTCTTTTTTAAGATGTAGCGTGGTACAGATTATAGTATCTCTTTCTTTAAGAAGCACTTTCCTCAGTAATAGGATATGAATATAATATGGGGAAAACACCCAAATTTAAATACAATCATTTTATTTATGTAAATCCAAGAAAACCTTTGCTTCCTAAGTTATCGCAGGGTTACAGTTTCTCTTTCTTGCTTAACTTCAAAATAAAGTGCTTAATATCTGCGTTTGCTATTTGTGAAAAGATACTTTTGAACAGTTAAAAACTGTTTTCTTGAAGCTTGAAGGAAGAGCAGGAAAATATTAAAAGGACATTCTGTGTTTTAGATGGCCCTCTTGTGGTAAAAGGGTCAAAATATCCCGAATGAAGACTGCTTTTAAATAGTAAGAGTCAAAATTGCGCAGATGAATGAGAAATAATGTTTTCGCCTTTTCCCTAAGATCTCGGTGGCAAAATTAACAGAATTGTCAAATATAAAACAAACAGACATAACAAAACCAATCTTTTTTTACTGCTTTATATAGCTACCAAGTGAATCTCTGAAGATCAAAAAATAACTCCCGGAAACATTTTCATAAAAAGCTATCAGATTTGATTTTGTATATTTTTCACTTGGAAATAATTTTATATTTACACAAAAGTTGCAAAAATGGACCCAAGAGTTTCTGTCTACCCTTCACTGACCTAAATATTAATATCTTGCATAACTGTGAAATCTCTCCTAAGACCAGAAAAATTAACATTGATATACTGCTGTTCAACCAATCTACAGACTTCAATCAAATTTTACCAGTTGTCCTCCCAATATTCTTTCTGTGACTCCAGGATCCTCCAGCTTGTGATAGTATCTCAGTCTGTCTTGCATGACCTTGACACTTTGGAAGAGTAGTAGTCGGTTATTAAGTAAAATATCTTTCCATTCACTTCGTCTGATGTTTCATCTTGATTAAATTCAGGCAGTAATACATCTGCTGTGATTGTGTGCCCTTCTCATTGTATCGTATCAATAGGTACACAGTGTCACTATGTCTCATTATTGGTGATATTAATTTTGATCACTTGGTTAAAGTGATGTTTGCCATGTTTCTTTACTGTGAGGTTATTATTTTCCCTTTGCAATTCATAAGTATATCAACACCATTTCAGATTGTATTTTTACCATAATTAATATTATACCTGTATTTTCTTATGGGCATTTATACTGAAATGGAGTTATAATTTGTAACTAAACTAGGAAATGCTGAAGTTACTTTGTTGCCTTGTTTGAAAATCATTTTTCCCCTTTCATCTGTAGCCTTCTATCACCAGTCTTGCACTTTAAGTTAAAATCTTCAGAAAGCTTCTTCTTGTTCATGTTGACTAAACCTCATGTACTTAATGACCTCAATAGGTATGTCGAGAGTACCAACGTGGCAATTGCAACAGAGGAGAAAATGATTGTCGGTTTGCTCATCCTGCTGACAGCACAATGATTGACACCAATGACAACACAGTCACTGTGTGTATGGATTACATCAAAGGGAGATGCTCTCGGGAAAAGTGCAAATACTTTCATCCCCCTGCACATTTGCAAGCCAAGATCAAGGCTGCCCAATACCAGGTCAACCAGGCTGCAGCTGCACAGGCTGCAGCCACTGCAGCTGCCATGGTGAGTAGAGATATCAGCTCTCTCCTTGTTAGCAGTCAGAAAAGCAAAGTGAGCAACTCTATCTGACTACAAGCTATTCATTTATTAACCTTTTTAAAAATAAAATTGCTGAAGATATGTTTGTTCAGGTATCCCAGACAATATATAAAGAAGTTACTTTCACAGAAGTGAGGGTAACTCTTCAAATGGTTCAGATTGCTCCTACCCTTGGCCTAACTCTTAATCTGTCTTATTCTGGATGTAGGGTTTCTGAAATCTCTGCTTTGTAAAGAACCACCTGTCTCCTTTTCAATTTAACGATATTGCCATTTTCGGTCTTCTTATTTCTGTGTGCCATCTAATCAGCCATTGTTTTCCTTTGGTGTGTTCTTTTGCACATCAAGGCTCTTCTTCACATATATCTTGCTTTTAACAATAACATGATCTGGAACTATTTAGGAGAATTGTTCAACAAAATTGTTCTTAGAATTAGCTACAGGATTTTGAGTAGTATACTCTCTAGATTGTCTGAAATAATATTGTGGCATAAACATAATAGTAACACTAGAGAAGCTTGACTATGCCATTATATAGAAAGGAGAGAGACAGCAGTACTCAAAGAGTTAGAAACTGGATCATTAAGAATAGCTACTAAACTATATTCTCAAGGTAAATTTTAATGTGATCTAGTAGCTGATTTTAATGAGCCCATTCTTTGTTCTTTGCTTAGCTGTTTTAATGTTGTCATTTTTTACATAAGTATGTGACTTAAATCAATGAAATACTCATTTTAAAAGTTACTGTGTAGTATTTCATAACAGTGATATTAATCATGAGAGAGATCTTTTCTGTGTTTGTTTATGGATACTTGAGCAAAAATACAGAAGGCAGACTCTCTCCTCCTCTCTTCCTTTCACTCTTTTTTTTTCTGTTAGAGTATCTTGTTTGTAATTAACTACAAAGAGGAGTTATCCTCCCAATAACAACTCAGTAGTGCCTTTATTGTGCATGCTTAGTCTTGTTATTCGTTGTATATGGCATTCCGATGATTTGTTTTTTTATTTGTTTTTTCTCACCTACCCAAAAATGCACTGCTGCCCCCATGATGCACCTCTGCTTGCTGTTTATGTTAATGCGCTTGAACCCCACTGGCCCATTGCCATCATGTGCTCGCTGCCTGCTAATTAAGACTCAGTCGGCTGTCAAATCACTGAAGCGACCCCTCGAGGCAACCTTTGACCTGGTACTATGACCTTTCACCTTTTAGCTTGGCATGTAGCTTTATTGTAGATACAAGTTTTTTTTTTTTAAATCAACTTTAAAATATATATCCTTTTTTCTGTTATAGAGTTATAAAGTACAATGAAAAAACTGAGTGTGGTTTCCTGACAAAATTAGTAGAAAGACTATAATCTAAGTACATAGATGGATGTCATACAATAAAAGATTCTGAAAGCCCAGCAGCCCACATTCAGTTTAACTACATTGTAGAATGTTCTAAAGAAATAGTTGGAGGACATAAAGAGTGTATTTTTGACTGTATATTTATGTACCTGTTTGGTTAGCATGGCTTTAGTGGTAGAATTATTTACATTTTAATATTTATAGTTCAGTATTTAAGGAAAAAAACTTGCATGCTCTGGGACATTTGCATGTCTAGGTAGATCTGGGGGGAGGAGCAGTGGGTTAGTTTTTATTTTATCTGTTTCAGTCACTCTGTACAATTAACTATTAACATTGCTTATACTTGTCAATCCTCATGGAGCTCGCAGTGCGGCTTTTCCTCTTTTCCCAAATCAATGGCTTCTCATAGAAAGCCTGAAGCATTATGGGACCTAAAGCACTTTAACACATTATAACATGTGCTCTTGTACTAGTGAGATTTTGTTTTGGACAAAAATAATGCTTCCTTTAAAGCTTTTATCTTGCTTTTTTTTTTTTTTTCCTTTAATTTTTTATTCATTGGATTTTTTCCCTCGGGTAGTTAAGTGCTCTGCTGCTTGCTTGCTCATGCTTCCTAACAATTTTAGCCTTCGACTGATTTTTCTTTTTTCTTTTTCTCTTTTTACTGGTATTTGTTTTTTATACTCATTCACTAAACAGGGAATTCCTCAAGCTGTACTTCCCCCATTACCAAAGAGGCCTGCTCTTGAAAAAACCAACGGTGCCACCGCAGTCTTTAACACTGGTATTTTCCAATACCAACAGGCTCTAGCCAACATGCAGTTACAACAGCATACAGCGTTTCTCCCACCAGGTAAGGGGTGGGGTTTCTTAATAAATGAATCTGATGATCTACAGAGAGTCCTACTGTTAGAGCAGATAAACCACACCCCAAGTTTGTTTGTAATTATAGATGAGGTGTCAGGTAAGGTGGTCAATGATGGAAACTTATCTGAGGTGTCTCATGTGGTTTTCCTTAAAAAGTAAGGATTTTAGCTTAACGAAATATGGATTAAGGATCAGTGGTATTTTATACATTTATATGTGTTTGTGTAATTTGGAAATGAAATATAGTTCTCTTGTTTTTCTCTTTCCTCCACACTGTTATATGTCTGTCAAGCTATTTTATGATACTTTCTTGCTGTAAGACCCCTTTGCCTTCATTATTCCATAGAGTTAATTTAAATTATATAAAACAACACTTTCAGTTTTGATTTTTATTTTTCAGCCTTTTTGTTTTCAAGGTCAAGAATGAAAAAAAACTATGTGTTCTAGAGCTCTTAAAAAGGGCTCTTAGTGGCATCAATCAGTACACTGCTTAAAATTTTGACTGTTCCTAAGCTAATATTGAAAGAGCCCTAAGTGCTCCTCAATGTTTAATTTATTATGGAGTTCTACATTTGTGGTTTCAGCTTATTTTCAATTTAGTAATGTATACATAATCTAGAATTATTCACACAAATTGCAAAGTTTAAAACACAGACTAGCTACTCATTTAATTACCTGGAAATTTACTCTTTTTATTCACTCTGTATTTATTTCAGAAAATACATATAAACTTATTATTATCTGGAATTTTACTAACCAGAAACTCTAATCTCACTTTCCTCTTTATCGCTTCACTCTTATTTTGAGAATACCATGGTAAAAGACTTACTTAATAAAATATTTTATTAATTAAATTAATGATTAGATATATATGTCAAAAATCCAGCTCCCAATTTTATATTAGACTATATTGGCAGTATTTACAGTGTATTAGGTTCATAATGCTGTGAGAGAATATGAATTTGTTTTTGATTCATGAACAAAAGAATAAATTATATGAGTTTTTAATACTAACCATAACTTTTTATGTAGTACATCTTTGAAAATCAGTCATCCATATGTAAAATAAACATGAGGTAACAGTTAACTAGAATATTCCACTAGCTGAAATAGCCAGTGCCCCAGACACATGGATAAAATGATATTTGTACTCATGAAATAGTATCTTTCAAATTGCAGTTTGTTCATATTAGAACAAAAATTAAATCATTTTGACCTGTAGTCTCACATTTCTCTTATGTTTTGTAATACTATAACTTTCTTCTCAACATGTATAGTTTTTCAGAAATTAATCTTTTTGCTCTTGTGCAAGTTGCTGTGTCCCCAGATTTTCACTGCCCCCAACAAATAATCCATCAGTTTTTCTGTAGTCAGATGAGCAAAGTTTCAAGGGATTATATGTAGCTATCATAATCTCTTTGAAGAAATTAAATCTTATTTTTGTCAGTTTATTTTATTGGCTAAAACATTACCATGAGAAATGACAGTTTCAGCTAGACCAATGGTAGTGAGTTATCTCAGTTGATTGTTCACAGTCAGTTACAGATTGAACTTCTCGTTCTACTCATTCCCCTCTTCTCACTACTGTACTTGGCTAGTCTTAAAAAATATGATAGTTTCTCTACTAAAGTCTGAAAAACAAATCTATGCTATTTAAAGAAAGCTGAAATAATCAATTTTATCAAATAGGTTTCATGTTAGTTTTTTCAACAACACTCAAATGACTATAGTTTTTTTTTTCTAAATAAGTATAACCATCAGTTGCATGGTACGATGACCCTTACTGATGACACTAGTGTCTCCCTAGAATAGGTTTTTGATGACCCCTACTTGTGACACTAGTGTCTCCCTAGAATCGCTTTTTGTCTGTGGATAGAGCCAAAGATGCTAGGTAAAGTTCAAATTAGAGAAAATAAACTCATTCATAAATCAGAATCAAACTTGTCTCTCTGTGCTAGGGTAAGCATTGCTAATTTAAATAAAATCTGCATTAATTGAAATATGCTGAAAAAATTTTAGATATATTTGCATTTATTACGATGCATTTTGCATCAGAGATATTCCAGTCTTGATCAATATATCTCAAATATAGGCCAGGCATGGTGACTCACGCCTGTAATCCCTGCACTTTGGGAGGCAGGCAGGCGGCTCACTTGAGGTCGGGAGTTGGAGACCAGCCTGGCCAACATGGCAAAACCCTGTCTCTACTAAAAATCCAAAAATTAGCCGGACATGGTGATGCGTGCCTGTAATCCCAGCTACTTGGAAGGCTGAGGCAAGAGAATCGCTTGAACCAGGGAGGCAGAGCAGCAAGCCGAGATCACATCACTGCACTCCAGCCTGGGCAGAGGAGCGAGACTCCGTCTCAAAAAAAAAAAAACATACAAAACAATAACAAATATATATATATACACACACACACACACACACACACATATTTCTCAAATGTAATCAATATAGTGTGAAATTTTTGCGTTAGCAACATAAAATAACATTTATTTGCAACTCAGTTTTAAGGGCCTGAAGCAGCACGTTGACCTTTATTAATCACATAATCAGAAGTAGAAGTAGGTAGTGACTCCATGATTATTTTAAAATATTTTCATTATATAATATGTACCTGCATGCACAAAAATTGACCCTGTGACCTGAAAAGGTTAAAATGGATAGCTCATCGTTATTTCTGCCCCACCACTTTGTCAGACAGTCAGAAAGGAAAGAAGTCTAATGCAGGGAATGTAAATGCAAAAGCCTCAGGGGCCAGGCAGGAAACACAAGTCAAGCAAGAACTAAATTGGGAGCTGTGGGGTATGGGTGGCACAGGGGAGCACAGACTCAGTCTAAAGAGTATAGTCAATGTTCATACTTTGCCTTTTGTTGCCTCAGAGAATTGTCTGCCTGGCAGGTTGTACCTGCTATCCACTGCAAACCCTTTGTGGCTCCATTTGCATCATAGACTGTGTAAACCACAGTTGATTGTGTATATGCCTTATAGGGTTGGTTGTAAGAAACCCACACAACCTAACACAGTAGCCCTGACATACAGTGTTGCTAGGTCTTATGATTTTTTCCCAGATATTCTGGACGTTTGTAAGTTTATATGTGAAATTTCTCAATATTTAAATTTTGTCAATTCAGTTTTTAAAAAACACCCTTTGAGAACTAAAGGAAATGTATCTTAACCACAAATTCACATGTAATCTCATGTCTAATACCTGGGAGAAAAGGAATGCCGTTTTCCAAAGTTTTGTTGTTCTACAGACAAATAATACAGAATTAGATGATCAAGGAATCTGATCTGATCACAATTTAATAATTTGGAAGGTACACTTTGAAGGCTTTATTGGAACTGGGAAGAAAATGGAGTTCTTTTATTTTTTTGCAGCTCAGAATTTTAGATGTCTATAGTCTGTTGCTTCAATGATAACTTCAGATGTGTAGATGCATTTTATTCAAATTACAGTGAAGCATGGTTAGCTAAATTCTTAGAGCAGGTGGCTGCGTATACAGAGTAGGTTGCTGGCAAAAGATCAGGGTTCAGTTACAAGCCAGCCAGCTAACTAAGAAAAATTACTGCATGCTTTAACTTTTAAGAGCAGAATTGGATTTAATATGGACATTACCCGTCTAAGCATCATTCAGCCATACGTACATACATCCTCCTATCATTCTGTTCTCCCCTCTCCTTTCCTCTCTTATCCTTTTTTCCTTCCTTCCTTCCTCTGTCCTTCTGTTTTCATCCATCTATTCATCTCCCCATTTATCCACCCATCTTTCCATTTATTCATTCAATAATGTATGCCACTGCATACCAGTATTTATGTGAAAGATTGCAAACTCATGGCCCAAGGGTAAAATCTAGTATCTAGAAATATTTTTGTTTAAGAGTGTTTACATGAAGACTAAATGTAAATCCTTTAGATAGGACACACACTGTACCCTTCAGTTCCAAGCCCTACAATTCCGTATTGCCTTAGGCCAGATTGTTTCACACATTTTGTTCAAAAGAGTTACATTTTATTGAATGGTTGTTCTGGTTTCATGCTGCACTGAGTGCTTTGCATATATTATCTCATTTTTTTTTCACAACGCCCAAAAGATTGGCATTAATATTTTCATTTTACCAATGAGTAATTTGGAGCCTAGTAAGATACAGTGATTTTCCCCAAGTTAAACAGCTTTTGTAAGGTTTCGATTTAAGTACAACTTGAACTCAAGTCAGACTGACTTGGTTAATCTCTCAATATATATGAGCTTATTACACGAAGACCTTAAAAATGATTTGGGAGAGTGGAAGCAGCCCTTACTGATCACCTAACTCCATTGTGTTTCACACTTAATACCTCATTTAAAGATAAATATAAGTATTAGGTTAAATTCATATTGAAGTTTTGTTTTCTCAAATTTAGATATATACTTGTTTTAACCTTCCCTTTTCAGGACCAGATTGATTATTTGTAGATATTATACATAATTTAGGATCTATATATATTATAGGTGTGAATTTTCACTCAAGAAATTAGGGTATATAAGAAATACCACTTTCCTTTACACCATTTGTTTTCATTGAAATTAAGTCTAGCTCTGAACTCTGATCTCTGTCTCCCTGGGTTGAGAGAAATAACAGGCATTACTGGGAATCCAGGACATCCCCCAGCTCCCTCTCTCTCCTGACCTTACCTCAAATGGAGGTCCTGTGCAGTCTAGTATTCTCAGACAGACTATGCATTCTTCATTCATCAGTCACAGCTGCTCACTGCTGATATGATCATTGTCCATGTTTGCGAGAGCTCTTGAAGACAGGTACTCCAGAGGTTCTGTGCTTGCCTTGGATATAGGCTTCCTTGTCTATGCCCTCCAGGCTCCCATGCCCTTGAGGGCCTGATGTCTGCAAGGCTATTCTGAAAGAACAGGCTACCTACCCAACTACCTGTGGAGCTGCACACTGCCTGCCACTTCAATCTTGAGGAATTTTTTTCTCTGCCCTAATCACTATTTTTGCTTACCTACCATCTTCAGAATCACACCTCTTGTCTCCCTCTCTAGCATATCTCCCTCAATCAATGTTAGCTTTTGAGTGTTAACAGTTCTGAAAATACATTTGCTTTAAACAACTTCAACTTTGGCTTGTATTACAACTCTACCAAGAATGAGGCAACAAAAGGCCAGGAAACTTTCTTAGGTGGTGGTGTAGGTCTAAGGGCAGGGGTAGGCAGGGTTGTGTTTATAGAAAGAAGAAAAAACAAAAAGATTTGTCACATTTAGTATCATTAATACATTTAATAATTTATAATTATGTATATTAGTAAATTACTTATAATTAATAAAAATAACGAAGGTACTGCTTGTTTGGATACCAATTTTGAGAATAATCCAACTGATTGTTAACTTTTAGTCTTAAAATGATATACACTGTTTTTAGAAGATCTTAATCAGCTTAATACTTTTTATAATCAACCTAAATAGGACTGAATTATTACATCGAAATTCTAACTTCCAACTAAATCTTCATTACAATTCTTTTTTTCCCTTCTACTTATTTCCCTTCTATGCTAAGTAATTTTAAGTATGCATACATCTTATTTGTAAATTATCATCCTAGTTTTTCCTACATTTTACTACATATCAATTAAAATTTTTGATTTAAAAAGTCATGCAATTAAAATAACACATTTCTTAGAGGCACCCCATTCTGCTCTGCAAATATCTTTGTAGGATAAATTGGAAATTGACAAATACATTCACTTAAATTTTGCTTTGTGCTGAAAATGGAGGAAAAATTTAAATTGGCCATTTGTGCATTATTATTAGTAAATCAACCCATGTAAAGTAAAGATGGAAACCAAGGTCATTTCAAAAGTGATTTTCGTTTTTGGTAAGTGGGTCCTACAGCATTATGTCCTCATATTTGTGAGTTATTGCACCCTGGCTAGTATTTTCATTGCTGCCTTATGTTTATTTGCTGCAAATGCCTCTCAAAACTGTGTGCATTGGTTATAATGGTAATGAGGAAGATAACTCAAACTAAAATTCAAATCATAATAGCTTTAGGGTTTTAGAGAGATAGTATAAGGTTAACTCATTTTCAGCATGTGCAGGCTTAATTATGCATGGGATGAAATACAGTAGGCAAGTCTCAGCATAATAATAAATAATGAAACATATAACCTGTACAATATTTAAACTGGCTTTAATATTACTTATCACATTATTCTTTATCATTCATCATTTCTTTTCCAATTCTCTCACCCTACCATTAAGACAGTAATGATTTTATAAGATGTAAATCTGGTATTAAGTTTTGCTTGCTCTACTGTCTCAAATATTTATAACTTCTTTGTTATTACTGGCTTGTTTCTGTTTGTCTTTCACAAGTCTTTGACTCAGTAGTAGTAGCAAATGACAGAGATCTTCAAGGGTCTTAATGCTTGTCAATATAATATTATTCCACTTGATAGGATGTGTCCCCAGATTCATTACAGAGTTTAATCATTGATCACTGTGCCCACAGTCTAATTGTGATGACAAACTAATTGCAGCTGTTACAGGGATGCCAGTTAAGTAATCCGTGTTTAAGTTGAGTTTCTCAATGGCAGCTTTATTTTATAGGGCCATCTCTGACAAGATTCATTTGGCAGATATTTTTCTAACAAATGTTCGTCCCAGATGCTGCTAGTATTTAAACAGGATATGCCAAGATTTAGATAGAAATATAAAATCCTTTGATATTTTAAAACCTAGAATTCTAAAATAATCCCATAGAAAGAACAGTGGTTCTGCATATGGGAAAGTGCCTTGTACTTGGTAAAATAAGTTAAATTTTCAATATTTACATGTCAAAGAGAACAAGGACTATCTATATTTGCAACATTTATTTTTGCTTATCATGGTTGAACAATTGTCAGCATCAGTGCTAACACCCCATATGTGATGTATATATCTTCACTATCTCCCACTCAAGGTTTTTATTGAAGTCTAATTAGCAGTTTCTTGTGTGTGAAATTTTGTAGAACATTTGCTACTCCCAGAAGTCTTGAAGGTCTGAACCAGCAATGAAAACCACTCTGATTTCCTAGATACCATGAAGTAAACCAATTTGATATTTATAAGAAATTATATTCCCCCTTAAGGCTTTTCCTACATTTTAATTTCAAACGAAGGAAATGCAGAAATTTCACTGTTTTATGTAAAATTTATTGCTTGGCATCCCTCCAAATACAAATCCTGTATGAATAATCACAACCCCTTTCGTGTTTATGTGGTTGCTGCTACAATGAACAGGAAAATAAAACAAAAAGAATGAAAATGAATGTTTGGGTTTCATTATATTGTTAAGTCAGTTTTGTACATTGAATTATTTAGTATTTAATAATAAATAATATCTTTAATAAGTTAATATGTGCCTGATATGAAGAAAATGTTAAGGCATTCATAAGTTAAAGTCAGAAATAGCAAAACGACCAGATGGTTAGTAATCAGATTAAAACAAAACAAATTACAATATTATTTTTAAAAGAACTAAGTGGATTTAAATTACTTCCAAAATACTTTTGTTTATAGGCAACACTTAAGAGAAACAAAGTGTACCAGCACACAGTTAAACTGGCTTTTATTCTTCACTTGAGACTAGTTCTAATTGATCACTGTGCTATTGTATGATTTGATTGTGCTGACAGTTACATGCCACTGTTCCCATAATAACAATTTTTCTTCTTTGTTCAAATGAATTTTCTAATTACACGTGTGATGGGATGTTTTAATTCTTTTCCCTTTTCAAATCCACCTTCCTGTTGCAATGCATGATGGGCAGGCTCAATATTGTGCATGACACCCGCTACAAGTGTTGGTAGGTGCCAGCTTTGTTTCTTGATTATCTTAAACCTATGGTGTATCTCACAGCCCCTCAAAATCCACTGCTAAGTTTAACTTATATCTATTGGGCAAGTCCATTTCCCCTTTACTAACACCTGTCAATTAAATGCCATTTTCTATTTAATTGACATGGACTCACATAAACGTTTTCTTTACACACACGAGTTTCCTTTAGTCACCTTTGGTGGATTTTGATTGGACTATGAGTTCTGGTGTGTAAAAAAAATCTATTTCATGAAAGTAATATACTGTATATTTTTATAATAGTAAATGAGAAAAAAATACTTTCATTCAAACAGATAACTGTATATATGAAGTAAATACTTGTATTTTGACTTAGATTTTGAATGTCTGACTATGAACACTATATAAAATTCTTGTTTTTGACTTAGCATATTAAGCCTGTTTGTGTCAATTTTCTTGATTTGATGGTAACAAGCTTTTTTCCCCCTTTTTTTTCTCTTTCATCCCTCCTCCCCTTCTCCCCTTGGAATGTTGTCCTGCTTTGCGCTGTGATTGCATGTCACTCGCTGGTGATGATGTCCTGTCACATGGCTTATTGCTGTGATAAATACCATGCCCAATTATCTCTTCCATGTTGCCATGGTTTCCATATTGCTACACTCTTCTGTATGTTCGCTTATATGATTTTCCCTCCGAAAGTTCCCATGGTGCACGGTGCTACGCCAGCCACTGTGTCCGCAGCAACAACATCTGCCACAAGTGTTCCCTTCGCTGCAACAGCCACAGCCAACCAGGTTTGCTAATTTACAGCTTTGTTTCTTAAAAAACAACTCTAATAGGGCTCAATCCAACAGCCCTTACGCATGTGGATTTCCCATTGAGGTCAGTGGGAATCGTATGTACGTGAGGGCTGTAGAGGGTGCTTTAATAAGCATGGGGTTTCAAAGATACCTCTTGTTGGCCTACACATTCTATGATGAGCAGCAGAATGCTTTTATGCCATTTATAAGTGCTCCAAAGTTGTCGCAGCTCCATTTCTGAAGCTACTAAAATGATATTTACACAAGCAATTCTCATTGGTTTCAACCAATCTTGCAGGTGTTTTGACCAACCAAAAATAGAGGCCATCTTAAAGTTTTTATTTAAAACATTTGGTATATACAGTTTCTTAGTTATTGCCTAAATGATTAATAGAAAGTAAAATATTTAAAGGTATTACATATGCCACAAATGACCGCTCTTGTAAATAAGTTTGTTATAAATTCATTATAATCTGAATCATTTAATAAGCAGATTCAAAACAAATTGTTTGTGTATAGCATTTCTAAGCTTTTATTCTCAATGCTTTCGGTGAAAGAAAAATCCTAAATGCTCTTATTTTTATAATTACCCTGCATAAATGTTGGAGATTTATGAATGAAAAGAAAAGAAATTAAGTATGGCAAATTGACAATCATTCTGTATTCCATGCAAGTTTATAGAGTAACAATTATGCAGGGTACTTTCAAGTAAAAGGGATTTGTTCCATAAATTTAAATTTTATGATATACAATAACTATTTTAAAATAAATGATTTAAAATATTTTAAAATTTAAAAATTGACATTTATTCACCCAGCATTTTCTGATTCTACTTAAAAATATTTTCTAGAAAATACTGGTTGATTTCAAGTTTCATTTATGTAAAATAGATTTGGGCTTCAATAGAGTTGACAGTGTATGAAGAAAAATAGAGCCAAGCCACATTTCAGATAATCCACAGGTGAAGGTTAAATGTAGTCAAATGAGTCTCAAAAGAATTAGTATCAGATGAGAATCAACATGTTCCCCCTTGGAAAGGGAAGACCAATTAAGACATCGATTTGTTGTTCTTACTGTGAGGAGTAGCCACCCTTGTTCTAAAATACATCACGTACTGTTGATGAAGAACATTCAGCTATTAGTACAACCATTCAAAACTTTCAAAATCAGAATACAAAAATGAATTTAACGTTTCAGTCAAGCTTTAAACATTTCTTGGCAAAGAATCATTAATTTTTCAGAAGCTTGTCAAAATAGCCCTGGGTTTATGTGAACACATCAGACTCATTTACAAGAATGCTAGATGGTGCATATGTGGCATGTTAATAAGTAATCTTTGGTAGAACTATCGCGATGGATTCAATACAATCCATCTGTGGTGCAAATCAGTGATAAAGAACTCTCATGCGTGTACCATGTATGACCGTAGAATTGCTGGTGTAAGCAGAACTATAGCAGAGCAAATTTCAACATGCCCTTGGCCACCTGGGTTGTAGGGGACACTTTACTTTTTGCATTGTGCTGTGACCATTTCATGCATAATCTTGGGTCTTCATACTATTTGACAACCAAAAGAAAGAAAAGGGAATGGATATATATATACACACATATATTATATCTACATATACATACATATGTATATGCCTACAGTACATTAGCAATGCTGGAAATAGCTGATGCCACAAAATGCAGCCTGCATGCATGCAGAAGTTTATAGCTGGCCCTTCATCTGCATCGATTGGTGTTGAAGGTCCTTGGTATGTTTCGACAGCCCCATCCTTGATGCTTCTACACTGTTGGGTGCAACATCCTGTCCTGCAGCAGCAGGAAAAATGGTATGAGAAGCTTCATTATGCTTGGAGCACATTTTCGTGCCATTTGCCAATGCTGTAAAATTGTGTAAAAATGTCAGCTGAGAACTGGAAATTAAACAGGGACATATTAATATACACGCCAGACTGTGGATTGTAGTATGTTGAATTAGCCTAAGATGTCTAAATTGAAAAAACAGCAACAAAATGCCTTTGTGTATGTGATTTTATTATTCTCCCAACAACATTGCTGAAATGGGATTAGTATCGTTTTATAGAAGAAACGTAAGCATAGAGTAATGAGTTGCTTTGCTCAGGGTCACACAGCCAGTAAATGGATCTCTAGGGGTAGAACCCGTGTCTTCAGTCCTCTAACAGTCTCAATCTATTGTGCTGCCTCTCTCAGGTTAGCAGCCATTAATTTCGGGTTGAAAAATCAAGCTACAAATTTGAAGTTCTAACTTTGGGAACTATTGAAATAAGTCAACTCTATATTGGTTTCTTACTGTATTTTCTCTCAAGTTCTCTAATTCTCTTGCCCATTTAAAATACAATAAAAGGTGCCATCAGGATTCAGAAATATGTTCTGAAGTAAACTTAGGCTCTTACCTAGTTCTTTGAATTACTGCTTTATAATTCTTACCTGGTATTTTTAATTTGGAAAAAAAAAGTTAGACACCCTAATTTGAACGAAAATGTCAGAAATTTGGTTGCACAAAAATAGGCAAGACATTTCCTTATCTGATTTCTGAATGATTACTAAGTAACTGAAACCACAGGGGTGTGTGTGTGTGTGTGTGTGTAGGCCAACAAAAAGGACTTCTTTCAATACTGCTCTGCATGAATTTTTGATAGTTTTACTTATCTTATTTCCTAAAAGCTGGTAACATTTACAGAATAGTATTTAACATGAAGATTTTAAAGTTAGTTGCTACTTTGGCATTTAAGTTTACATTAACTTACTGTTATGTTGACCAGATAAGGACTATCACCTCACAGCTGAATTTCACTTTTCTTTAAAAATTTAATATTAAAATGTTTTCATCTCTTGATTGTTGGCTTGCTTGCATGGATCATTCATTAAATAATTTTTTATTTGCTAGATACCCATAATATCTGCCGAACATCTGACTAGCCACAAGTATGTTACCCAGATGTAGAATTTTCATCACTAAACAGTAAGTTCATTATGTAATATATAGTAGCATATTTGTGCTGGGTTTTTTTAAGATAGCAATCGTATAGTGCACTTAAAATTTTGCAAAATCTCTGAGAAAATATTTATATACAGGTCACATTTTTATCTTAAATGGGTTGTGAGGAATTTTATCAGACATTTATAACAAATATGTTAATATCACTTAAATATACAAAGTATCAAGAGAAAATAAATTTTTAAAATTTCTGATTAGAAATAAACACAAACATAAAACATATGACCAAAAAGTAGTTAGAAGGTATAGATCAAGGGTTGGCAAACTTTCTTACAGGGTCAGACAGTAAGTATTTTTGCTGTGTGGGCCGTATGGTTTCTGTTGCAGCTACTCTCCTCTGCCATTGTATCATGAAAGCAGCCAGAGACCACATGTAAAAAATGGTTGTGGCTGTGTTCCAGTAAAACTTTATTTACAGAAACAGGCAGTACATCACATTTGGCCCACAGGCAGTATTTTGGCTGACCCCTGGTGTAGATTATCACTTTTTTTTTTTTTTCTTATTCTTTGGCTAAACCTTAAATGGAACCATGTACTCACTTCATCCCATGCACCAGCATACACAGGGGCATTAGAATATAATGAGTTTGGCTAAGCGTGGTGGCTCACACTTGTAATCCAAGCACTTTGGGAGACTAAGGTGGGTGGATTGCTCGAGCCCAGGAATTTGAGACTAGCCTGGGCAACATGGTCAAACCCTGTCCTACAAAAAATATAAAACAATCAGCTGCGTATGGTGGCACACTCCTCTAGTTCCAGCTACTCAGGAGGCTCAGATGGGAGGAGCACTTGAGCCCAGGAGGTTGAGGCTACAATGAGCCACAATTGTGCCACTGCACTCCAACCTGGGCAACAGAGCAAGACCTGTCTCAAAAAAAAAAAAAAAAGTAGTGAGTCTCACTTTAAATAAATATATACACATAATCACATATATGTGTACACACAAATCTACATATTCAAATGAATCTTAGGTACTTTAAAGTAGTTACCTCAGAGGATCATATAATTCTGAAAATGTTGCCATTGCAACATTTTTAAAATGGTTTGAAAGTGTTGTATTTAGTCTTTAAAATGTCTTGTATTTTGTCTTTAAGAACACTGTCTTAAATACTTACAAAGGTGCCCATTTTTCATCCATAGGAATACGTTTTGTCCAGTATGCGTGCATTCAAGTTATAACATGTGCTCAGATGCTTGTTAATTATTTTTATATTTAGAAAGAGACAGTATGCTTAAAACTGAAATTGGTTAAGATGGGTGACCATTCTTTGTTGCTTCCTTTTTTTATCTGTGTATTAACATATTTACAAATGAGTTTTTGGTGCTACATTGTGTTAGTTACCATGGCAAGGATATAAAGATAAATAGACAATAAGATAAAGATGTAAGGAATTTAAGGATAATACATTAAAATAAGAGAGGTTTGAAGAAATTTCTCTTAGAGCAAAGATGAAGAGCAGCTATTCCCAACAGGATCCATAAACAAATGAATTTGGACAATGAGGGTGTTGTTCTAAGGACAGTGGAGGTGTAAAGGCCTTGTAAAAGAAGGACAGTGTGCCAAGTCAGGAAACGATGGTGGCTGAGAACCAACTCAGAAACTCTTGTGATGTTAATCTGTAGCAAAGCTGGACAAAGTCAAAGCCCATGCAAGAAAGGAAAATAGGCAGAATTCAATAGCCATTTAAGAAAGAAATGATAGGCTCAATCGGAAAAGTGCTGCCAAAGACTTGCTGCAGTTGTGAATTATTAAAATTGATTTTGTCTATTTCGTAAGTTTTCTCAAAGCAGTTCTGATAAAAAGGTTCAGATTCTGAACAATAGCCACATTTTTAGAAGCAGCAGCATTACTTTGTAGTGTTGTTGGTTTAGAAGAAGAGTTTGTTTGACATGCCAAAGCAATCTGTTTCAAGCTCTTACAGTCAATTAGGTGTGTTTGGTATGTGTATATTTAACTGTATTCTATTTCTTAGCAATAGTCTAGGTTGAAAAAAAAAATTCTAAAAATAATTAGCAAACCAGTAGATTTGTCTTTGAAGCTTAAGCATTTAATGTTCTGTTCATTTAAGAAATGGTTGCTCATCTTCATGAGGAGTTGCAGCATTTAAACTGATTTTTGAGTCACTAGATTGTGATTTCTTTCATTTTCAAGGTTGTATTGTGAAGCATACTTTTAATATATGTAAAGATTCCCTGCTGAGAATAAATTTCTTGTAAAAACTGGAACTGTTAATCCACAAGTACATTGTAGTATCTATTACAACTTAATTCATGAGTAATAATTCTGTAATTCAAAAAGAATGATTTTTATTTTCTTAGTTTTAGGAGAAAAAAGTTCAACAAACTAAATTATCCAAAGCCATCACTTAAAGTATCATTCTTTTTTTTTCTAAACCTGCATTATGCTAATCAAGCATCCAAATAGAATAAATCTTCTTTAATAGAACATATGACATGAATTTTAATTTTGTAGACCAGACCTTTACTCTTGAAACCTTATTAAACTGCAGAAAAGAAGTAAGTTTAAATTTTGCCCTACAACAATTGTGCTAAAAAAGAACTGTGTATATTATGCCCCTTGATTCTGCAAATGTATTTTATACTTTTAGTTTAGGATTAGTAAATTTTTTAGCACATTCTACAATTTTATTAAATTGTACACATTATTTCGTTCATATAGAGATGATAGACAGATTTTGTTCTGTCTACTCTTGTGAAATGGTTTTTGTTTTTATATGAAGATATAATAACTTGTGAATATACTGCTTAATCAAAAAGAAAATTTTCATATTAAATGTATATTAGAAACTGCTTTTAGATACTATCTGTTCTAACAAAGATTCTGTCTTTTTCCCTTGTAGATCATGCTAAAGAGGAAAGGACAGTGTGCTTGGTTAGAGTAAAGGATGAGGTCATTAGCCATATTGTATATATCGTCAAGCAACACACACAAAAGTTCCTCAGCCACAAGACATCCACATATTGCATGTTAACCAGAAGAAAAGACAACATGGAAATCCACTGCACACTGTTGCCTATACACTTTGTACATTTAATTGATATTTGTGCTGAGGTGATATTCCTGTCTAAAAGAACAACATTGTCTTTCTTTTCTAGCACAGAGTTATGCATTCAAAGATGCATACCTAATTAGTTTCCTATATATTCATGCCATCTTGAAAAGACAGACTGTGGTGTAACCATGATTCTATTATGTATTGGTACGTCTGTAGACCAAGATATAATTTTTTTAAAATAAGTTTATTTCTTTCAAGGTTTACAAATAACAAAGGTGCACCTTGTATTTAAAATTGCCATTATAGATGAGAGCGTGCATGCACAGTCATTTTTGTTTAAGAGTAATATTTTTAATGTAATAGATTGTAAGACGTGGTGAGGGAGGGATCTGACAGAGATGAATGTGCCAAGCAAAACCACAACTGTGTATATTTTAAAGCACATCATGGCTTTAAGTACCATGTTGTTAAGGATTCTCATGAAGTGCCATAGACTGTACATCAAATTAGAGTATTATTTCTTCAGTGTTATTGTTTTCAGAGCCACATTTTGTTGCATATTTGCTAGTACTAATCAGTCAAAGGGCACCATTCTTTTTTTTTTT